TCTTGAGACCAAACTATAGTTCCATGAATAGGTGGTAGAAACAGGCTTTTTAAAAGTCGTTTGGTGACAAACTCAGAAACACTTGTGATTCTTAGGGAGAGTTTTACATGCTTCATTAAGTCAAAAGTACTTTGCACAGGTTTAGCATTGTATTTTCAGATTAGTCTCAAACACATTACAATAAAGAGGTCTAAATGCATGGAATTTTAACAATCACTATGCCCCGTCCTGTTAGGGTCCAGCATTTATAACTTTAAAGTTACTGATTCCTCATGGTCATTGGACACTTGGACAGTTATTGCTGGAAAGGTCACATGGGAGTCAGTAGAAACTTAGTGACCCTATTACATAAAAACACACCCAGTTGAACACCCAGAAAGCATGCCTCAGCACTTTTATAAAAGAAGTTTACAACAATATTTTTCATTGGTAACTTAGTCATTAATATAATGGGCAGGGTGGGGCCAAAGCACATGACCTGTAAAGAAGGAAGAAGAGACAGAAAGAAAGTGGAGAAATGAAATAGTAATTTGGGTAAATCCATCATTACATAACCAAGGAAACTCCTCAGAGCTCTGCTTAGGCACAAACAGGCGATCCCAGTTGTTAACAAAACTTTGATTTTACAAATTACTTTATGATCAAAACAGTTGACTCTTCTGGATTTCTTGTGCTTCAAAACAAGTATAGAGACTTTACATAATTGTCCATGTCCTTCATAGAACTGTCCCATCTCTATCAAAGCTTCAGTCCAAGAACTGGCATCACGAAAATGGTTTCACTGCTTCCAGACATCTAACCCCACCCCACTTCTTCACTTCTCTCAACACGCCCTCCCCTATTTATTCTCGGAAACCAGATGTGTCTTCACCAAGACTTTGTGGTAGGCTCAGAATACTGTACACACATTTTCCTTTCCATTTATATCTTTATTTCTTAGTAGCTTTTTTTTTCCAGTGTAACAACTAAAGAAGGTGCTGACAGTTATTCCTGATCACACACATTTTACAGAAACCGAGAAGGGACAATAAAGTTAGAGTCTAAAAAGTACTTTGTTAACCCCATTGCTAATTATTCTAGCTGAGCTCTAACATCTACCAATATATAGTTTTTCTTTTGGTTTTACGTGAACCTCAGTGACACAGAATTGGAATTATCGTAACCTTTGTTTCAAGGCACATGATTATGACTGATGTTGGAGAAGACATTCTTATTTACCTTTTTGCTTGTTTGTTTATTAATAAGCAGAAGCAGTACTTTTGAACTCAGCACTCAACACGAGAATTAATACATTGCCACGCTTATATCAACCTCTGTGCTTCTTTCTCTTCCACCCATTATAAGCATTGCCCTGAATCTCATGTTTATCATTCCCTTGCATATACATACATATATAAAAGTTACATATATGATATATGTGCCATATATACATGAAAAATAACATATATCTGTGGATTCATTTTAGTTGTCTTTATTTAATAAGAGTACCATGCAGTACCAAATCACCTGGGACTCATTCTTTTCACTGATATCATTACTAATATATTCCTATTGTTGCATTTCATGATGTGAATATAACATACTCTAGTGTCCATTCCTCTGTGATGGCTATTTGGACTTTTCCAGTATTTCTGTTTCCCTGTTTTCATTATGAAAAGTGCCACTCTGAACATTCTGGCACATGTTTCCTGGAGTATCTCTTGGGTAGATTCCTTAAAGGGGTTTATCATACGTGTGAATGCATGTTCAACTTGACAAGATAATCGCAAGCAATGCAGACAACCCTACTGGCTCTCCTCCTCCCTAGCACTTTGGTATTTTCAGGAACCCAGGTTATATTTACTCCTGTTGTGTTCATGCCACCTGAGGTTCCTCCTGCCCTCCTCTTCCATGACAAACCGTTTATACATGTTCGATTGGCAAACACGTACGTGTTGGAGAGGTAGGCATCAACACCTGCCAACCTTGGAAAGGACTGAACCAGAATCTCCACCTGAAGCGGCCTCCTCTCCCCTGATCCTGGGATCAATTTTGGTCAAAGGAAAGGAACATAACAAACCCATGAAAGTAAACCATCGGCCCACCGTTGGCTTAGAACTGAGCCTGTCCTGAACGCGGTCACAGAGACCCTCGTTTGTATGTCGTTTGTTACAGCTCTTTTACTCCACTCTTCCCAGGAAATGGCTACATGGAATTCTTGCTTCGGAACCTCAATCTCTCTACTCATAGATCATTTCCCTACGTTAGGTTTTCACTGGTCATTTGTCATTTCGGCTGTGGCTGGTGTGTCCTACTCATATTTCTACCTGGCCTATTTTCCCGATAAGAAAAACCTGTTCCTAAATTACTTCCTCCAGCCTCATTCCAACTTTCCTGAGCCTGTGGGTTCCTGATTGATAGCCTGTGTTCTTCCCACTTTCTGCCACCATAAAGAGGCAGTGGTGATTATAACGCTGTGAAAGAGATTCACAAACCTTCCCTTTTTCCCTCGGTGCTCAGTGAGACTACTCTGTTCATCCTTTAATCCCTTTTGTTTTCTTTCCTCTAAATGCTATGAAGCAATTCAGCCTTTGGAAGAAATGTATTTTATTGTATGAACTTCAGCGTAAGCCTTTAGTTTTTCTTTTCCTTGATACCATCTTCTTCACTACGACTGCCCTTACTGGATAGTCTTTAACACAGAAGTGAAAGGAAGCTAGACTGGCAACTTTGTATAAATGGGAAGACAGCAAAGAAGGCAGAAAGAGATTGAAGAAGAGGTTTGTGTTTAACAGAAGGAAATCACCTGCAATGAAATCAAGAGCTGTAATGAGTGAGACGTAAAGGAGTCCAGAACCCCGCTGGAAAGGAGTGAAGAAAGTGATGAAACAGATGTCAAGACACAGTGTTCTAAGCCAGGCACCAAGTCATACTGTGAGCTAAAGCAGCTTAATTGCTGTGAGAAAAAGATGGCAGCCATAGAAGCTGAAGTCACTTCAGATAAGGGATTGAAAAGGAAGCAATCTGTAATGGTCTCTTCAGACACACCAAATGTTGACAAGTAATGTATTCATAATTTCAGAATTGGCTACATAGTCGTAGGAAAAAAATAGTTTGCTTGTGTATCACAGCTTTAGTTTTTAGAGCAGTTTAAGGTTCATAGCAAAATTGAGGGGATGGTACAGAAAGTTCCTGTATCCTCCCTGCCCCATTATCAACCTCCCACACAGGAATGGAGCATTTGTTACAATTGATGAGCCTACAGGACACATCATATCACCCTTATCCATAGTTTACATTAGTGTTCACTCCTGGTGATGTACATTCTATGGGTTTGGACAATATATGACACGCATACTCATTATGGTGATGAGGAAATACATAAATCACTGCAACCTACAGAAAGCTACGAGGAGGGCAACCCTATTAAGCTTTGAGAGGACAACAGACAAAAAAAATTCTTCATAATCTCAGAGTAGGAAAAAATTTAAACACAATACCAAATGCATTAGCAATAATGTAAAATATTGATAAATGTGACTCCATTAAAACAAAGAGCTTCTCATTCTTAAAAGATACTACAGGGTTTAAAAAGAAAACCACAGAATGGAAGAAAATATTTGCAACACTTAAATATGGCAGCCTCTGTACTCAGATATATGAATAACTCAAAGGATTAATAGAAAATGATAGACAACCCACTAGAAAATGAGCAAGAGACTTCATAGGCACTTTACAAAAGAAGAAATCCAAGCAGTCAATCAATGTATGAAAAAGTATTCAGCCTCGTAGTCATCAGTCATACGCAAATTAAAACACATCCTTCCCATCATACTCTTCAATCACAATGTTTAAAAGTTTGAGAACATCAAGTGCTGGCAAAGACAAACTGTCAGAAGCTGCTGGTTGGAAAACATGTTGGTACAAAATTTTGAAATACTTGGCATAAAAATGGTGAAGAAACATAAACCTTTGGGCAGGAATTCCACTTCCAAACATAAAACTCTAAATAGAAATCATGCACATATGTACTACGATTCACGTACAACAATATTCTTTGCAGCATTATTAATAATACGCCCCACCCAGAAAAGAACCTCAAATGTCCTTCAACAGTAGAATGGTTAAATAATCTGTGAGATTTCATACAACGAAAAACCATACAGTCATGAGAATGGATGACCTGGAGTGTATGTGCAACCATATGGAGAAGTCTCATCAGCATACTGTTGAGTTAAAGAAGCAAGATGCAAAAAAGTACACAAGTGTGATTCTAATTATGTGATTCAAAAACAGCCAAAATTAAACTATATTGCCTAGGGATATATACCTAAGTAGTAAAACTATAAAGAAGCAAGGATGGGTTATCACAAGTCACCATAATGTTTACATCTTGGTGAAGGTTGGGGATTGTCATTGGGGAGATGGTGGGGGCAGCTTTAGAGGGGTGGCAATGTTCTATGTTTTGACCAGAGTGGTGGTTAGATGGGTGTTTGCTTTCCAATTATTCTGTAAACTGTACACATGTTTTATGATCTTTCTGTGTGAAAGTTCTTTCTTATTATGTAAAAGTTTAAAAATGATATCTAAAATTACACCTTTTTTGATATTCAATATTATTTTATATTAGTTTCAGGTGTACAGCGTAGTGGTTAGACATATAATTTATGAAGTGATCTATACCATTTAACCTCGAATTATTCCATTAGTTTTGTAAATGATGCTTTCTAGTAATGACTGAGTTAAATCACTGTGGTAACTAAGACTAGTAAAAGTACAGCCACACACAGCATTTTGCCAGTAAAAATCCCCTATAAAGGGGGTCAAATATATGGTGAGGGAAGGAGATTTGACTTTGAGTGACAAACACACGATGCAACTTATAGATGATGTATTATAGAACTGTACACCTGAAACCTATATAATTTTATTAACCAATGTCATCCCAGTAAATTTAATTAAAACTTCCCTATACTGGTGGACTCAGATAAAAATATGAAAAAAATTGCTTTGATTCTTAGGTTGGATCGTTAAATGCATGCTTCCTTGCAAAGAGAAATTTCCAAGTTGATGTATACGAAGCTAGGGAAGGTAAGACAACATTGAAAACTGTGAGATGTAGTTCTCATTCTCTGAGCTCTTTCTCTTTAGATTTTTTAAAAGACATTTAAAAAAAAAGAGGAACTGTTGCAATTGTTTAAACGTCAACTATCTAAATTTATTTAACACAAATTTACCACTATTAATATTTTCTTTATGAGAGCGAACAAGGTCGTTTAATGTGGTCCTGATTGCACCAGCCGATCAGGTGTTATATGCTCATTCTACGAGGAGATGTGTGTAACACAGTGTCTATTTCCAATGTCTTAGATATCCGAGTGGCTAAATCTGTACGTGGGAGAAGCATTAATTTGGCTCTTTCTTATAGAGGAAGACAAGCCTTGAAAGCCATTGGCCTAGAAAATCAGGTACGTTGTTCATGCATTTTCCTTACAGAAAATAATACCTGCTGGTTTTCAACAATTGCATGGTCTTGATTTGATCCTGATTCAAAGCACTACTGAATATCAAGAACCTCTGCATGATGATGCATTCTGCAAAGGTTTTCAAACTTCTCAATTTGGCAAGAGGGTGGACATTTGACATTTGAGGCCCCTGGGGTATCCAGAAAATGAGGCATGACATGGGGCAGGGAGATGCTGCACTCCCACCTGATGACAGCTTCTGACGCGGGTTCTCAACAGGATGGTAGATCTCTACCTCAGGTGTGATCTGAGATGACGTTAGGATAATAGGAGGCAGGCAAACTCCATTTTTTTTTACTATATGTGTCCATTATCTCTTATTCACAATTCTATACTCCAGAAAAGCACTGAACACAGAAATCTTTTCATCAGCCATTCGGTAGTAAGTTTGATCTGATGTGAAACTTTTTGTGGCCTTAAAAAAACACACACACACACAAAAACCTGATTTGGTGCAACTATGTTTTGCTACAGAAATATTGTGTTTGATTATGAGGGGGTGCACTCTGCTGGGTGCTATGTGATATCCACATCTGCACTACACTACCTCTCTAAAATTGGAAAACTTCTGAATTCTGAAACCAACATTTGGTAAGGATTGTGGGCCTGTAGTAGATTTTCCTCAAATGGCCTCAAGGTCACTGAACTTCTCACTGTCTATCGTGCAGTTTGAAAATGTGAACAGAAGCAATGTATTTTTCTTGATAGGGCTTCTGCTGACAGTGTCTTGAAATGACAAGTCAATGTAAATACCATTTGCATTTTTACAGTTTTCTGATGTCTGTGTTAAAGGAACACATGACTCTGTGTCTCAGGATTCCTGGCATTTACTTCCCAGGTGTTGCTCTCTTTTGTAATCATGAGAAAATCACTTAACCTCTCTTTCCCCAAGTGCAATGTTTGCTTTAGACAAACATAAACAAGTGCAAGGTTTGCTTTAGACCCAATAATCTTTAAGTCAATTCCAAAATCTAAAGGTTAAAAAAAGGCAAAAACTAACATTTGCAGGAACACAGTCCACTGATTGTTTCCACTATACTGTGATTGTCCTTTTCATCATTTTTTAATTTTTGAAAATAATTAAAATCATACTTTAAAGTCAATATCTATTTTATTTGCATGATTCCATGTTATAGAAGTTGAAATTGGTATTTCTGGTTTTATTCCAGATTGTATCCCAAGGCATTCCCATGAGAGCAAGAATGATTCACTCTCTTTCAGGAAAAAAGTCTGCGATTCCCTATGGGACAAAATCACAAGTATGTTAACCCTGGAGATAGATACTTGTTCGATTATAGTTGAGTCTAATGTCTGACACTTGCTGCTTCTTTGTTGGCCCTTCCTTTCCTTCCTGTCTAGCCCTGTCTTTGACATTGCCTGCCTCGGTCTAAAATGTGGGGACGTAAACTAGTCAACAAGCTAATTCGTAGGAGATGCTTAAGATAGGGTCCAGTCCTAATAAACATTCAATAAAAGTGAGTTATTATTGTCATGGCTGTTAGGCTGTTTTTCTGCCTCTATGCTTTGCTCATACTGAGTACCTTTTCCCTCCCACCTCCTTTCAATTACAGAGAGAAAATTACCATGTGTTTATTGTCAAGTATGATATGCAAGAACAACTCTAGAGGGCTTTATGATGTTGCTTCTCCTGACTTGTTCACCCAAAATTAAATTATAATAGAATTTATAGAATGAACCAGAAATGCATTCAGTATCGTATAATCTGGAAAACAGGAGTCTGGAAAACGGGAGTCCAGATGATGATGTAGAGTTTATCAAAGAAAATCCATTATCCTGCTTTGTGTTTTCTTCTAATCTTTTACATAGTGACATACAAAGTATAAACTTTTATTTAATTACACCTTCTTAGTTTGTTTCTTGAAGAAAATAAAGGTACCAAACATCTATCAACAAGAGTAAATCTCCAACTTGCTTCATCCAGCAGTGCCTCATTTTCTTAAGTGCAAAACCCAAGTGAGGTTCCTATTCTTCTGAGTCTTTGACCCTCAACAGAGCTCCCACTGTAGGTAGAACAACGTTCTAGACTCACCTGGGATCTTGTTAAAATGCAGTCTGATTCTGCAAGGCTGGGGTGGAGGCTGAGCTTTTGCAACCCAAACACACTCAGGCGGTGTCCATGCTGCTGGTCCGTGGACCACACATTGAGAAGCAAGAGGTAAAGCACATATGCTCATGGGAACAAGGGCTTAGTGGAAGGCAGGAGTGCTCAGCTGTGGGGTTCAGAGAGAGAGGAAAGCTTTAGTGTTCAGAGAAGACTACACAGACAAAGTGAGATCTGAGAGAGACATTTTGTTGAAATCTTAAATTGGCGGTGAGATAGCATCATTTCAATCAAGTGAGGGTCTACCTATGGGAGGACCTTGGGTGAGACCAGATTTCTAAAAGTTGTCCAAGTGTGTATTGAATGAGAAAACTTGTAAATGCGCTTTCTCATAACAGAATCTTACAGTGATCAACAATCTTGGATTCATTGACTCCAATCACCGTGTTTTACAGATGAGGAAAGAGACTGCATGATTTCATGAGCTCAACATCAAGAGAGAAATGAGGCAGGTTTCCTCTCAGACAATGGCACGTGGAGTGTGGTGCAGGAGGCTCTCAAAGGAGTGCTGGGCGCTACTGCTTAGTTACACTATTTCTTTTGCAAAATTGAGAATGACTCAATAATCATCCCACCTTGTTCTGGATAAACATGGAATGTGCTGAGAAACCCACCCCCTGGGCAGAGAGTAAATCAATAAAGTACAAATAGACCAAGGAGTAAGATATGGTTCAAAATATGAGGAAAGCCAGATGAGGAGAGCAGCTGGGACCTGCAACCAAAATTGGCTTCCTTACCCTCACTGTCAGAGAGGGGGAGAGAGAGCAGCTTTATCACCAATGATTCCCAAAGGACATGAAAGTGTTGGTAGGAGTTTCCATTTGGGAGCTGCCAATACATTAGAAAAGGGAGGAAATGACCCCTCCCCCCCACCAATTCTGCCATTTCTGAATTCCTGACAACTGAGTTAATGCTAAATTTACAGCCACCCCTCTTTCTTTGGTTTGCACCATGACTTTCATATCTAAGTCAAACATGGGGCCTCTTTCTCCTTTAAGAACCACATAAAATTGCTTTGAATCACTTAACCCCACAGCCTGTGGAAGTCCAAAGCCCTCCCCCATGACCCCAGGATTTCTACAGATCCCCAGGGAGCCTACCTTCTATTGGCTATCCACTGCCTCTCACCTAGTATTATTGACTTTGTACCATGATGGTCCAGACATGAAGTTCACTCCTTTCACCAATTTCCACAAACAACACTCACTCAAAAGGCACATGAATACCCTGAAGACCTGGGGGACCCGGAGGGCCCACACGGTGCACAGAATAGCAAACAACTTCGAAATCCCTAATGCGCACAATCTGATCTCCACAATCCTTTCTGAACCCCTTCTCTGAGCCTCCCTAGCCTCCCTCCTTCAGCTATTGTTTTCTCTGCCCTTTCTGCCTTGTGGAACCCAATTTTCCTCCCACCCCTCCCAAATTGCCTGGGCAACTATTAAATCATTCTCTAATATACAGAGCAGGTAACAGCTCCCCAATTCTTACTTCTCATCTCCCATGCCCAAAATAGAGAAATGGCACCCCCTTACTAGGAAACATTCTCATTTGAAGGCATTCAGGATCTAGAATGTAAACATTTTTTCCTAATATATTTGAAAAAAGTCAACACCGCAACTATTATCTTACAAATCTCCAAAGGAGATAATCCGGCTTTTTTTAGATGATGATGATGATGATGATTTTGGTTATAAGGGACACTTTATAGCTCTTGACTTGTTTATTTATATTTATTCTTTATAAGATTAACCTTTTAGAATAGGTATTAGAGAAGAGAGACTTGATGGGAGTGACTCTAGGTTTTTGTGTGTGTGTGTGTGACTCTAACTTTTGATTATGACACATCACCTCCCAAAGATATAAAATAGATGAGACAGTGAGTGACACTCCCTGGTCTTCCTGAAGGACCCATGTGTCTATCTGTTCCCAAAAGTTAACCAAGCCTAATTACTGATATGGAAAGAATATTTTCCCCACATAAACGAGCCTTCATAATTAGGATGTTTCCTAATATACTTTGAATCACAAGCGTGGTTTCCATTGAAATGAGGGGATTAACGACATAGAAGATCAGAAAAGAGAACTCGGAGAATTAACTAGGCAGAGAATTAAGAAGTCCCTGTTAGTTTTCATTTATAGCCCACACAGGAAACTCTCCTTCAGTCATTGCCTCTGTGGCATGACCGAGTTATTTTTATACCAAGTATAGATTTAGCTGTTAATTTTAAATGTCTGTACTTAGATGAGGTGAAGATTTATAAATTAGCATATTTGTGGTAACTGTTGTGATATCCCATAATTTTCTAAATTATATGCTTAAAAATTTGAAAGCAATAGACTCACCCTGAATTACAGGGCTGCATTATGACCTTCATGGGCCTGTGGGCCCCTTTTTCTAAAACAATAAATATTAAAAATTAGATTTTATGAGTGCATTGCTATAAATATTAATATAACCCAGGATGGACTCACTCTTATATATTCATTATATGTATTTTTTTCTTCTGATTTTAAAATAAACTAAAATTAAAACATTTTCATGTACCCCTAAAAGTATGGTGGGCCTTAGGTACTGCATCTACTGTTCCTCATGGAATAGTAGGCCCCACCAAGTTGTCTTATAAAGTGAGAAATGAACAACACTTGTCCCAGGGAGTGTTGATCCTACTCCTATAAACACTCTGCCCACCACCACCATCACCACCACCACCATGCGTACACAAACACACACCCTTTCACATTGAAATGAAGGCCTTCAAAGTAGTTTCTTTGGGAAATAGTACATTTATTCTAGTGATCCTATCATTTCTGAAGTTTTTTAAATAGCTCAATTTAGAGACCTAAGATAAGAAATATGAGATTGATGATTTGTTTTTGAAACAAAACTGTCTTAGTGACAATAAGATATTCCTATAAGAGAAGGGTTTGGTTTTTATAGTATCAAACTTTGAAAAAGCCTAAATTTAGCTTAAATTTAAGCATCATATTATATGTGTTTGTTTAAAGTGTTTATTTTTTAAAAAGTCTACTTAGCTAAGTGGTCATAAAACTAAGCTTCCAATCTTCTGCTAAATAATAAATATTTTTAGTGAATAACATAGAATTATATTTGTCCATTCCCCAGAAACAAACAGTACCTACTATGCTTTTCTTACAGTATATTCTTTCTATAAGCAGAGAAAATCTAAACAAGGATCTATTAAATGGTAAGTCCAATGCTTTATTTTACCAGTTGTGATATTGAGTAAAGCACATGAGACTAATATTGTTGTTTGATTTACTGAGATTTGTTTACTATCCCGTTTTATGGGTTTTTAAGAGCAAGGCTCTGTACAATACCAATTGCTTCTTGAAAAGTAGTTGTGATACATGCTCTGGCATCTTTATTTTTTTTTCCAATGATCTAAGTGAAAATCACTTGTTAATGCATATTGAATTCCTCTTGTCTTCCAGGCTCTGGAATGAATTAGTACTCACTCCCTGATGAAGGATTCTGTCTAGTGGAACAACATATATACACTAACAATTTGCAAAGTGACATGATTAGATTTGTATTTCAGAAAAGCAAAACGCTGTTGTGTGGAGACTGATACAGGACTGCAATCTTTAGAGTGTTGGGATAATCCCTGTGTGTAAAACCAAGGCCCTGGACTAAAGCTATAGAAATGTGATTGGAGGGAAGGGTATAGATTCATGATATTTTTAGGAGACCAAGTGGCTAGAGGTTAGAGTGGGTTGAGAAAGAGGAAGGTGGAAAATATAACCCTGAGGTTTCTAATTCAAGTAACTAAAAGGCCTACACAGTAATGAAAAATCCCCTGATTTGCCAACTAAATTTGTAACTTGGCTAATCAGTGCAATCACATCCCATGTAGCCCTTGATCACAATAGTTTTTTCTCTTCTTCAGCATTTGTACTAAACAGATTCACTCCCTGCAAAGCATGCCACTGAAGTGTTTCTCCTATCTTCTGAATCAACCTATCTTCATGCAGCCCAGCAGTCTCTGATCTTTCGAGAGCAGTTTCCCCATGATTTTTTTGTGTTTCTCCACAGTTCCCTACCCAATGTGAATTTGCAACATGTGTTTTGAATTGAATTCAATTTAACTGGGAGAAGTAATGGGTACAGTCACTCCAGCTGATTCACCAGGGAGTTAAGACATAGGGCTTAGTATTCTTACTTCAACTTTTTACTTATATTTGTAAGACTGTCTTTTGGATGGGTAGATGGGTGGGGTTGGGCTAGGTGGCTAGATATATTCATGTTGACCTTAAGAAAATAAATAGACACAAAATAGCTTTTTAAAAAGACACTAGCTGACTTAAGACAATCTCTTTATTGCATCCTCTGAATGTATTAAGGTAAAAATAATAGCAAACATTCATGAGGCACAAAGCACTATGTTAAGTGCTTTTTATACATTGATTTGTTTAACCCTCCCAACAACTATGTGAGGTGGGAATTATTTGTATCGCAGTGTATACATGGTGAAGAAGGCTTAGAGGTCTCTACTGTGTAATGGATCTCACTGTTAATAAGTGGTAGAATCTGGATTTGCATTTGAGTCTTTATTTCAAAATGCATGCTTTTAACTACTACAGTCACTGCCTCCGATATTCTTTTTAAAACAACTGCTAATATTAAGGCGCTAACACATGGGCAAGATCCAATCTCAGTATATACATCATAAACTAACCTCACTATTTTTCATTAGAATTGTGCTGCACAGCATGCAACTTCATTAATGCTGTAAATATGTTAATAAAATACATGCTGAATCTCCTGATTCCCAAGCTTTGTTTAAAATGTAAAGTTCTTTATTCCTTTACACAGCATCAAATGTGTGAACTGCCCACTCCACGTATTTACTCAGTTATAAATGATTATTGCTTCCTACCTGAACAGCCTCCCCTCTGAAAAATTTTAACTCAAACATTTTCCAGCATCAGCATTTCATGTGAGACTGTTTCACTGTCCACTATTCTGTTTGATGTTAGTAATTGCTAAGCACAACAAACAGAAAAGAGGACATCTGGTCAATTTGTTTGACCAGTCCTGCATTAAACAAGTTTTAAAACTCTTTTCTCTTGCAGTACTTCCCAGAGCCCCTATTCTCCCAGTCTGCATTGCAGATCTTGTAAAGCACTGTCTGAGATGTAGCCTCAAGTGCCAGCCATAGGTGTAATTTAAAATTGTATGCTAACCACATTAAAAGAAAACTGAAAAGAAACAGATGAAATTAATTTTAGCAGTGTATTTTAACTTAATATATCCAGATATTATAATTTCAATGTGTAATCAGTATGACAGTCATTCATGAGACATTTTCGTTCTACGTTCGTTTTTACTTTTTGTACTAGGGTGTAAAAATCCAATGCATGCAACACATCTCCTTTCAGACCAGCCATATTTCAAACACGCAAGAGCCACATGCGGCTGGAGACCAGGACAGCATAGCCAGGAGGGTCAGACTGTTAGCACTTCTCCAAAGGATTTGACCAGAGAAGAGTTATTTATTTATTTATTTATTTATTTATTTATTTATTTATTTATTTATAGGCAGCATATCCCAGGACTACTGTTCTATAGATAATTCTATGGGATGTATGAGACTACATTTAAGAATGAATGATAAATAAATAAATAAATAAATAAATAAATAAATAAATAAATAAATATAAAGTGGATTCCACAAACACATTTTGTGTTTGTAAAACATATGCTTATTAGCTCAAATAAACTCTGATTTCTCTAAAGTTATTTGCCAAAAGATTCCTTATACATAAGTAAGTCTTGGTTTAGGGTCACAGTTTTTGGTACAGTAAGTCCCCGACTTACGAATGAGTTCCGTTCCAGGAGAACATTTGTAAGTCAAATTCATTCATAAGTCCGACAAAGTGAGTCTTATACACCTTTGACACAAATATACAATGGAATGCCAATGGTTGAATGATTCATGTTATAAGAATGAGAGATGTCTACCATCTTTTTACCTCAGTCCAATCTCAATTATTTTCACTTCTGTTTCCATGGTTACTGCTTTGCGCTTCCTAGCAGTCCCCTCCACATCGCCACTGCTTTTTCTCTTGCTTCCGGACATCCTGGGCTCCGATTGAGCACTGGACTACTGTACACTATCGCACTGTACAGTAAGCACTCAGCAACACAACTGTGACAATGTCCGGTAGACACATGAGCTATTTCTGCAATTTGTTTGCATCTACAAATGTTCATAATGTGAGGTCCGTTCGTATCTGTGAAAGTTTTCAACTCGAATGTTCATAATTTGGGGACTTACTGTATCCTAAAATTTCAAATTCCATATCCAAGAATCTTCAAATCTTCAAATCCGAAATCAAACTCAAGCAAAACAGAACAAAAAAATGCAAAACCTGAGGAAAAAAAGAGAGTTAAGTACAGACAGGAGTTGAGTTGAAAAGCCAGAACCTCTGGCATGTTTTCCTTATTTTTTGTTTATTTATTTTTTACTGTCTGTCATGTTCCTTCCAGGAACTCAGTTACATTAGCATAATAAGCTCAAGGGTTTTGAACTAACACCTACATCCTACATTAGCTTTATAATTAAATAGTAGCCTATAATTATAGTTCTGTCTATGAGAATTTTTTGAGGGACAAAAAAAATCATATTTTACTACTATAACAGGAACATGATTAATAGTTAAGAGAATGAGATTCATTAAATTCCAAAGACTGAAAGCAGGCAAAATAAAAAAGCACTAAAATAATCTGATTCTATTTATTGAGGAGTTTCAAACCTTTTTACTTATTTTTTTCTTCTAAAGTGTTCCACTGATGGATTAAGAAAAGAATTAGTATCAATAATCTACTTTTGTGACAACTTGAATCAGAAGTCTAGAGGACTTGCAGCAGGCATAGTATGAGAAAAGGAGTTTGGCTGAATATTTCCAGTCACAAATAAAGCCTTAAGATCGAGGCAACTTTTCAAGTACATAACACTCTCTTCTTTTCACAGGGTTCCAAGAATTACAGCAATGTAAGAATTTGCATAATGGAAATTGGAATTAGTTGGATTTTTTTTTTTTGAGATGAGGATAGTTAATTTTTATTCATGTCTTCTACTACCAAATTATCCTGGAACATTTACCAAAGAGTTGTCAAATTATCATTTTAACTAATCATTTTTACATTATTAAAAATAAACAGTGCTATCATACTGTTTTCACAATATGATTAGTATAGCAATTTGATTAGGTGAAATACGAATTGGAATTTAATTTTTGTTTGTTTTCTTTCTGTTTCCTCAGCTGTTGAGAAATATCCCAATGTGAAGATGCACTTTGGCCACAGGTTGTTGAAATGCAGTCCTGAGGAAGGCATGATCACAGTACTTGGGTAATGACCAGCCAGCCTGTTGACTTCCCAGTAAACAGTGAAGGGTTGGAATGGAGAATTGTACCTGTAAACTTTGTTCTTTGGCTTTTGAAAGAGTTAAGTGATTACCAGGCGGGTAATTCAACTATGTTCTAGAGTCAATGTCTATTTATTTTTAAAAAGATTTTTATTACAATATAGCTAACATACAATATTATATTAGTTTCAGGTGTACATCATAGTTATTCAGCAGTACCCACCAGGCATTATACAGAGTTATTACCGTATTACTGATTATATTCCCTATGCTAAATAGGTGAGCACCATGAGAAGTCCAGCAACCATCTGACACCGTACCACACTATCACAATATTATTGACTGTATTTCCTATGCTGTACATGACATCCCCATGACTTCCTACTTATTTTATACCTGGGTCTTTGGACCTCTTATTCCCCTTTATCTTCCCCCCTTTTTTAATTTTTCAATTACAGTTGACAATCAATATTACTTTATGTTAATTTCAGGTGTACAGATGGTGGTTAGACATTTACTATGAAGTGATCCCCCTGACTAGTACCCACCTGGCACTCTTCAATGAGTTTTAATTGAACATAGGCCTTAGTTGCCTCCTGAATATGAATGCCACTCTTTTCAATCCTTGTGCTTACTCACCCTCCCACAGTATTCCACACTGGTGACCACACTCTGCCTCAACCTCTCTCCACCCTTTGAGCATAAGACCCTCCATAGCTCTGCTGCTTCTCTCTTCTTTCTGGATCCTATTTGTCTGCTTCTCCTTAGCTGACTCCATTTCCTCCAAGTTCCAAGCCTCATGTCCCACACTTGGGGTTTGTCCATTCAAAGGCTGCTTGTAAATTCACACCTCTAAGATGAATCTCTAACCCAGGCCTCCACCTTCACTCCCAGTCCTTATTTCAGTCATAATCAATGTTAATTTCTCATGAAATGCCTTCAGAGGTACCTCTTGCCATAATGTCAAACATATCAAAAACCTTGACCGTCTGTTTTTCTCCAAGCATGTCCCACTCTTGACTTCCTTAGTCCTACTGGGTCTTCGGAAAAGTCATGATGCATGTTTGCGACAGATGGCACTAGTTCATTTTTGGAAGTACTAGAGTCATTTGCATCTATGTTATTGCTATGTCATTTGACAGCTGACTGTTCTAGCTTCATTCGAAAAAAAATTGAGCGATTTGGTTGAGTTTTGGAGATTTTACAATTTGAAGCAAGAAGACCAACTGTGCATTTTCGCCATATTTTACTGTTTTACTTCCATAAAGAGAAGAACGCATGTCAAGCTTGTGAAAAGTTGGGTCAAGTTTATGGTGACAATGCTCTACAAGAATGTCAGGGCCAACAATGGTTCACAAAATTCCGTGCTGGTGATTTTGATCTCAACGATGCTCCTCGGTCAGGAAGGCCCACCGACGTTGATGATGACAAAATAGAGGCATTGATTGAGTCAAGCCCACTTTACATGACACAAGAGATTGCAGAAACATTGAACATCCATCATTCAAGCATTCATGACCACCTGAAGAAGCTGGGATACGTAAGCAAGCTTGATATTTGGGTTCCTCATGAACTCAAAGAAGTTCATTTGACAGTGCGTATAAACATCTGCAAGATACTCATTAAACGTGAGGAAAATGATCCTTTTTTGAAGCGACTGATAACTGGTGATGAGAAGTGGATTGTTTAAAACAATGTGGTGTGCAAATGGTCTTGGTCCCGATATGATGATTCGCCTCAAACGACATCAAAAGCAGACATTCATCAGAGGAAGATTATGCTCTCAGTGTGGTGGGATTTTAAAGGTGTTGTGTTTTTTGAGCTCCTACTAAGGAACCAAACAATCAATTCAAATGTGTACTGTTAGCAGTTGGGCAATTTGAACGAATCCATCATCCAGAAATGTCCAGAGCTTGTTAATCGTAAAGGAGTTGTGTTCCATCGCGACAACGCGAGACCACACACAAGTTGGATCACCTGTCAAAAATTATTGGAGCTTGGATGGGATGTGTTGCCACACACACCATACTTGCCTGACCTTGAGCCATCAGACTTCCACTTGTTTCGCTGTCTTCAAAACTCCTTGCATGGTATAACATTAAATTCAGATGTGGCTGTAAATCAGCATCTTGTTCAGATTTTCGCGGATAAAGACAGGTCCTTCTATGAATGAGGAATTATGAAGCTCACTGAAAGATGGCAAAAGGTTATCGAACAAAATGGGCAATATATCATTGATTGACCTTTGTTCTTTATATAAATAGATGGCCTTTGAAAAACGTAGACAAAATATGTCATGACTTTTCCAACAACCCAATATTACCCAGACAATTAGAATCATTTTTCCTGTGACCCTTTCCCTGTTTTCTCCTAACTGTTCTGCCAGCCTCAAAGTATGTCTACTTCTTCCTGAGCTCCTAGTCCTCGGCTCTCATCCCTGCACGTGTATGCTACTGTGGCCACCTTGTCCCCATTTCCCTTCTCTTCTGCCTCCACTTCAGTATGTCCACTGCAAGTGAGATTTCTTAAATTACCACTTTCCACACATCACTGCCCCATGGAAAAAATTATTTTCTCCCTTTTGCCAGGATAATGTATTTAAAACTTTTGTCTTACCATTCAGAATTTTCTTCTCCTCACTCCTTTCCCTCTCCACACTGTATTCTTTTCTTCAGCTTATCTTCTGCTATACTCTGCTCGAACCAGACATATTGCTCCTAAAAAACCCTGGTCACATCCCTGCAATTGTCCATACATTTCCTCCACTTGGAACATTTAACCTTCTTTTTCAAGATTCTCTTCCTTCATGCAGGCAACTCAACTCTTAGTCACACTGCCGTGGCTTAGCATAACTTGATCAGTCAGTATGGTTGTGTGTTATTCTCATCCTCAAAAGAAAACCTATGATAGGGATAAGTGTTATCTACATTTTATAGCTATCAACTCAAAGCTCCAAGTGAGATATGTAAAAGGGAATAGTGGCCCCGTTGAGGTGTTATTTTTTTATACCCAGATAGAAGTACACCATCATTTTGACCATTAGACCGTTTCTTTTCTTTCTTTTATTTTTTTGTTTTTGGGTGGTTTATTTTTCAGATCTGACAAAGTTCCCAAAGATGTCACTTGTGACCTCATTGTAGGATGCGATGGAGCCTATTCAACTGTCAGACGTCACCTCATGAAGAAACCCCGCTTTGATTACAGTCAGAAATACATTCCTCATGGGTACATGGAATTGACTATTCCACCTAAGAATGGGGGTGTAAGTCCTTTCCCTTTCTTATCACCTTTCTACACACAGTACCCCCCATACTAGTGTAGAAGCATATTGTAGTGCAGCTGTTCTCAGTCACATGTCTTGCTCAGTTTTGAGGTTTATCACAATTACTTTGTAATTAATAATAAACGAGGGGTACAGGTATCCTTTTAATAATATCCCTTTCCCTTACCTTTTGATAAACTTTCCTGAGTAGTAAAGAAAAGAAGAAATTACCACTACCTTACTGGAAACACACAGAGAATTTTGTCTTATATAATAATATCATTTTTAAATTTTTTCTTGGCAGAAGAAAAATGGGTTGGGAATCAATTCTGTATACAGACAATCCAAAGTTCTTACACTCATAATTGAATCAATAATAATTATTAAATAAAGTGAACTGCAAGTTGTTTCAAAGAGATTTCCATTGAGTTTTTCTCATTCCCTGTTTCCTGAGTTAAACCACATATGGCCTGAGGCAGATATGTGGTTTATATATTTAAATTGTCATAAGCAAATAAATGTAGAAACTTACTAAGGAAAATTAAAATACCAACAGAAAGAATAAGGATCTTGGCTTATAAGTAAGGTTAAGTAAACAGCATTAAATACTTGATTTGCATATAAAACATCCACGTTTTAAGGTAATAATTTAATCTATTTGCCTGAAATTCAGATATCTATAAAAGTCAACTTGGGATAGTGGTATTATATACCAGTTATATACCAAACTGTATCTGCCAGTCAGAGCCATGTTTTAATGTTTTATTATCTATTTATTTTTCTGCTCAAAAATGTATACACTAATTCTTCAATGCTGATTTTATGGTTTTCTGGTAGATAATGTTTTCATGGATCTGATAATTCTGAATTGTAAGCTATTAGGTTTCTGTTGAAAATTTGTCCCAGATTTGAGCTGAATCATGCTTCCTAATGTAGATTTAAGACAGTCATTTATTTTCTAGGCATTCATATTTAATAATAATGATTAGTAGTTTACAAAAAGTCTCCACTGTTTTGACATGTGACCCAGACATGGGAATATTTTGACATGGCCTAAAAACAATCCAGCGAAAGTTACTCTCCCTTCTTTCCTTCTTTCCTTCCTTCCTTCCTTCTTTCCTTCTTTCTCCCTCCCTCCCTCCCTCCTTCCTTCCTCTTTCTTTCTGTAATGTAACAGATACTTTTGCTCCACCCCTGATGATTGGAGTGGGAATGAGAGATTGGATGGGTGGAGAGATTGGGTGAATAAAGAGGGGTGTTTTGGGGAGATGTATGGTAGACTCATATTAAAGATGCTTTTGACAGCAAGCAAATTGGTTTTGCTTAGACATTATGTTTGGAGGGACTTTTGGGAGGACCAATGATGATTGCTACAGGTCTGACCTTGGGACATCTATTGGATAAGGATACCTATTGAGAGCATGAATTGGTAATTAAAAAGTTGAGAATTGAAAGGGTTGTTTTGTAGGGTCCCTGAAATATATATGAACACCAAAATGTCCTTGGTATCATATTTGTTATATCACAATGTATAAACTATAATCTATGCCAATGGTGAAGATAGGAGGTAAATATTATCTTCCATTTTTTGGGGTGTTTTTTGTTTTTGATTTTGTTTTTTATTGCGGAATTGGGGGGATGGGAACAGCGCTGGGGAATTGGGGGAAGGGGAACAGACAAGTTGCTGTCCTTTTGTTCTTCAGTCTAGTTGTGGAGGACGTTGCTTCACTGGCCCAAGTTGGCACCATCATTGCGCTCTTCCTGGGCGAGGCAGATAAGTCGCCGGCTTCTTGGATGGCCACTCACTGTGGCTGCTGGCTGCTCATGCTGGCTGCTGGCTACACATGGTAGCTCATGGCAACCCACTGCCACAGGGGCTGCAGCCTACGCCCTCGCCGGTGACTCATGGCAGCCCAGCTCCAGGTTGAGCTGTTGTTCAGCATCTTAGCTGTGGAGGGCAGTGTCACTGGCCCTCATATGTGGGATCCGAACTGGGGCCCTTTGGCATCCCAAGCGAGTTCTTAACCAACGCGCCACTCGGCCGGCCCTATCTTCCAGTTTTTAATCAGTAGTTTAAACTTCTATTGCAATAAATGATAAATTGGTCAGCTGTCAATTATCCACTCTTCTTTATCTTTCGAAGTTCTAAAAATGTTGTAGAAGTGATCAAAAGATAGCAAAAGGGAAAAGCAAGGACATTTGCCACCTCACCCAGGCTGGTATCCTTACTACCCACCTAAAACAGTGCTCATTTATGTCACCCTACTTTACTCAGAAGGTTCACCTTTACCCAGAAGCCATTGCCCTACAATTGTTATCTAATCTACAGATCCCTCGTTTCAACCACTCCAGCCTCACAAATTTCTTACCTGCCCAGTTTTTATTTCCTATACTTCTAATATGGCAGCAAATCACTTATTGTCTACCACTTCAATTGTTGCTAAAGGGAATTTACTTGGCTTTCCATGTGGCTACAGCTTGCCTATTCAACTGCATGGTAAGATCTTTGAGGTCTTACGCATTTATTCACTCTGTATCTGTGTATTGGGCTTTCTTTGAGGCTCTGGGGATAAAACAGCCAGGAAGCAACAGCCTCTTCTCCTAGGATACAAATAACTATCACAGAGGGTGGAAATGTTAGCTAGGAGACTACTCTGTGCTTCATGGTTCTTCTTACCATGTAAAATATATACATGGTAGGTGCTTCCTAGACATTTATGAAAAGTCACACAAAAGTGAAATATTTGGAAAATCGATGCATAGTCATATATATACATATATTGGGTTGTCGGAAAAGTCATGACGTATTTTTTCTATGTTTTTCATTGAAAAAATACGTCATGACTTTTCTGACAATCATATATATATATATATATTACCCCTGGAAACCTCAAGAGTTTTGGTCAATTGGGTCTTTGGGTAAACCGATTTACCAAAGTAATCAATACTTACTCAGGATGCTATTGTGTTGTAGAGGGGTTATTAAAGAGACAAGACCTCTCTATTACTTACATTGTAGAAAACAAGTGATAAGAGACTTGTTTTTAAAATTTTGTCTTGTCCATAAAATTTAACTTAGGACATTTTTATCTATACAAATAAGTCCCCAAATAAAGTGAAAAATAAAGTATAAAAATATTATACACATGTATATGTATACAAGCATATTTAGTTCATGTCCGTATATATTTTAGATAGGTATATACAGAGGGTGCCAAAAAAAATTATACACATTTTAAGAAAGAAAAACTGTATTAAAATTGTAATACTCAATACATACTGATAACAAAAGATGACAATAAGTCACGTTTGACTTCTGTAATTACAAGAGTTGCTTAAAGTGGTTACCATCAGCGTCCAGACACTTCTAATTACGGCGAACTACTGCTTGAGCAACGTTGACCAAAGTGTCCACTTGCATACATTTTTTTGGCACCCCCGTATATGTGCGTATATCCGTGTATTGTGTGAGTGTGTGTGCATGTGTGTGTGTGTGCATGTAAGTAATAAAGAGAGAAAGTGAACATCTCTCTTTTTTTTTTCTTTTTCTTTTAGCTGAGCCATCCTGCCACCTGTTGGCAGCTCAGTGGCAGCTCAGCTCCAGCTGGGCATCGAACCACTGTTGCTCAGACCTCAAACTCTTGAGCAAGCTCTTAACCAACTGAGCCATTCGGCCAGCCCAAGAGCATCTCTTTATAGCATGTTCTCAAGTCTTGAATTATATCTGATATCTAAAACCCACCTAAGGCTGAGTTTATAAAGACAGAACAAAACATTTTCTAAGACTAATTCTGCTATATGTAATGATTGATGTGTGTATTACCATGCATATAATACTGATTTGGATTGCTGTGGACACAGTTATAACATAAGCAGAGTCTATTTTAGAGATGTGCTGCCTTAATCTGCTAATCAAACATATATACATGTATACTTTTTTTCTGCAGTTTGCCATGGAACCTAATTATCTGCACATTTGGCCTAGAAACACCTTTATGATGATTGCACTTCCTAACACGGTAATATAGAATTTCTCATCAACTGTAATTTTGCATCATAATTAATGTTGTTCATGATTTACTTTTGTACTGAGTATATGTATACATATAATTAATCTCATCATTGTTTAGTCTATTTGGTGATTATATGTTTGAAACTGTGGGATTACTGAGGAAAAACCTGAAGTAATGCCAATTATTTACTTTGGAAAGGGGATTAATATACATGGATGACTAATGGGGTCTTATGTGTGGTGGTGCCTGACTGTCATTTCCCCCAAAACAATGTAGGAAAATATGGCCCCCAAATAAAGCCAGGGAAATTTAGGTTATATACTAGAAGTACTTTCAGCCTTAAAGCTTATAGAACATTAGAATATACATTGTCAAAAAAAGAGTATGGCTGTTCTTTTATTAGACCCTAAGGACTTTTTAAATATATAAAATACATATATTATTGTTGTTATTATTATTACTATATAAGATAGATAGATAAATATATTATAGCTATCTATTTATCTGGTTGGCCTTTTTCTTTCTTTTATCCTTCTTTCTCCTGTTATCAGTCCTAGGGTCCAAAGCCTATTCATACTGTCTTAAAAGAAGCAATAGAGAAGAAAGGAGAAATTAAGTCCAACCAACTTATTAGTAATCTAAGGAATGTGGTGTTTTCTCATTGAAAATATCTGGAGTTTACAGTGTAGAAATTCTCCTAATACCTGAGAAGTTGGGGAGTAACCCCGGGAGTTGGCAGAGCTTTTCTTTGGGAATGAGGGACACAGGTGATGGTGAATGTTCTGTCTGCTTGGACAGTCCCCCCAGGCGCACCCCCCACCCTCCGGCCACAACAAGAACCCTGTGAGTTGGGGACACACCTGTGCACTGGCATCGCCAGCCTCGATTATCTCTCACACTGCTCTCCCTCTTCTCACAGAACAAATCTTTCACCTGTACTTTGTTTATGCCTTTTGAAGAGTTTGAAAAGCTCCAAACAAGTCGAGACGTACTGGATTTCTTCTATAAGTACTTTCCGGATTCTGTTCCTCTCATTGGAGAGTAAGTTTCACGATGTGCAATTGTGTCTTTTGCTTCATTGGTTTGAGTCATTAGAAATTCAAATAAAAGTTATGCACCTTATTTCAATTTTGCTGAAATGTGACCGATTGAGCAGTGACCTTGACACAAAGGCGATACTAGCAAAAGCCTGAGGGGGTGCTGGACTGTGAGCTGGAAGCTGGACAACTCCAGGCCATGGCCAGTTTCTCTGGGAAAGACAAGTCACCCAATGTCCCCAGGCCTTTCTGTGTCCTGTGCAGGTGGATATGCAAATCTGTGGCCTGGCAGGTATAGCCAGCAGCCTCAGGTTTCAGGTCTACCACGTACTAGCTGTGTAAGTTAGCCTCACATGAGAAAGGTGGTAATGATAGGACCTGCCCCAAAGGGTTATTGTGACAACTAAAGGACACCATATCTATAAATCATTCAGCACAGAGCCTGGCACAGACAAAGTTCCCCTAGATTGACAGCTAATTGTACTCGCTGTCTGGTTTGTGACCCATGGCTGCCCTGGCCCGTCAGCATCACCTGCCACGTGGGCCTCATCATCTGGTCTCATTTGGTGCCTCTGCTCACACTGTCCCTCCTTCCTGGAACCCAGCCTGCTTTATACCTCCAAGGATGTCTTCATGGAGGCAGCACAATGCTGCCGAAAGAATAAATGTGTAATACTGCTTCTGCCCCTTACTTCCTTGAATCTCAGATGTTTCATCCTTAAATTAGGTATCAATCAAGATACCTACCTTTTAGGGCAGTTGTGAAAATCAGATGAGCTAACTATGTAAAAGGGATAGCCCACTGCAAGCCCACAGCAGATATTTTAAAATAGTCAGTTTTCATTCTTTCCTGCAGACTAATTCAGTCTGTATTGATTTCTCCTTCTCTCTGACACTGAAGGAAATCTCTGTACACCAAAATTTAGCCCTTATGTTCTACGGCTGTTTTTTGCCTCTCTAACCGTATTTGAGATCCTTGAGTGTATGTACTATTTCTCTACTTACAGCTTTCACAAAACTTCTGTAGATGCTTGACAAATACTAGCTTGCTTACAATTGTCTACTTTCAAATACATATGAATTCACATTAATTTTAATTTTGGTCTGTTGTAGTTTAGTCAAATACACAGCAGCACCTCAATTTTTCCACAAAAATCTACAACACACCAACATAGTTGAAAATTGCATAACCCATGTGCATGATAATGAAATTTTGATGTCATATAATATGGACATATTTCAAATAATTTAAATACAGCCAAATCTGGTCTTTTTGGTTGTGATTAACATTGTTACAAATCAAGAAGGTAATTAGAACAATGGAATTTGAGGATTAGAAGAAACTTCCATTTTTCCCTTTCCTGTTTTCTTCCTGGCATTCTTGTGTATTTCTCAATAAAATCCTATGGTAGGAGGTAAAATCAGTAAATGTGACAGAATTATGCAATATTTAACACCCAACTTACTATCTTTACATTCTGATCATTTTCCTCTGAAGGCAAGCCCTGGCACAAGATTTCTTCCTGTTGCCTGCCCAGGCCATGATATCTATAAAATGCTCCTCTTTTCACTTTAAATCACATTGTGTGCTGATGGGAGATGCAGCTCATGCAATTGTGCCTTTTTTTGGGCAAGGAATGAATGCGGTAAGTTCTTTTACCCTAGTAAGTCACTGAAATTTTTCTGGCTTAGTCGCAACTAAAAAATCTTAAATAAGACTGAGAAAGACAAAACACCATATGATCTCACTTACATGTGGAATATGAAAAACAAAATAAACAAACAAAACAGAAACAGACCCATAGATACAGACAACAAACTGATGGTTACTAGGTGGAAGGGGGTTTGGGGAATGGGTGCGAAAGGTAAAGGGATTAAGAAGCACAAATTTGTAGTTACAAAATAGTCACGGAAATGTAAAGGATGTAGCCTGGGGAATACAGTCAATAATATTGTAATAACTATGTGCAACGTCACATGGGTAATAGACTTATTGGAGTTGTGAGTTTGTGAGGTCTATCAATGTCTAATCATTGTTGTTTTGTACGCCTGAAACTAATAATAAAATGTCTAAAACTATCCCCACTTAATCTCTGAGAAAATCTATTCAGCAACCATACCAGCTGTTTAACTAGATTGATCACTAACCATAGTCAAGTCTTGGATTACTTGATCCAGTAATTTAATGCACAGAAGAGCATTAAGCACAAGAGAGTTTTCTGTGCAGTTAGAAAATGTATTTATTGATAGCTTGAAATTTGGAAACAATATCAGTAGTTCAAGATTTAAATTTTAAAATATTTTTTCTAGAGATTATGCATAAGTATATAAATGTTAGGCTCAAAAAAAAGATCTCAAATTGTGTTTTATTCTTCTTCACTTTTTTTTCCCAAAGGAAAAGAAAGCAAAATTGATAGCATTAAATAAAACTATGAAACAGATTAGATGTCAAATATTACTGCTATCATGGAACTGTCACCATTCTGGCTAGAAAAATATTTCAGAAAAGAAATAGTGTTTAAATGTTATGTGTGTATTTGATAACTAATAGCTTTATTATCAGAGTCGTCTATTGTTTTGGTTGTTAGGCTATATCCCAAGTGTAAGTAGGTTGTGAATCTAATCAATTATATTTTCCACAAAGCAGTGATAAATATTTTGTTTTATAAAAACATCAGAACATACCAATTTTAGCATAGTGGATAAGAGCCTAGGTTTTGGCATTAGAAGGCCAGGGTTCAAATCTTTAATCCAGGATTTGTGATAATATGTTCTTATACAACTAAAGTTTTTACTTCCTTCCTCATAGAGATTTTTGGAGAGGATAAATGAATTAATTATGTAAAGTATCATCTCAACCCTATATGGTATCTTGCATCTCTAAATTCCTATAGCATTAAAAGTCTATACAGTTGACAAGCAAATTTATTCACTTCAGATGTAATCTTTATAACTGATGTGAAAATTATTTGATTTTTTAATTTTTACATATGTTTATATTGTCTCTAAAACTATGGTTTGAATTCCTAGAAAGCAGGAAACATAGCTTTTGATTTTTTTCTTTCCCACTGTATTTAGCGTAGTACCTTACCAATTTTGTGGAGTTCTTGATATTGGAAACTTGCTTTAATCTTAGCTCATAGGAACTAAATTAATATTAGAGCTCTAACCTGTCATTAAATGTCTCTAAATATGAATCTTAAAGACCTGAACAGTGAAAATATAATTTTAATACTCATGCAGAGCAAGCTTCTTGAAGAGGCAATGGAATCCATCAAAATGACAAGAGTAACTTAACATTTTGATCGAATTCCAAATCCTTATACTTAATATATACTTTTGAATTGGGCAAAGAAAAAACCACCAAGCATGCAATTGATGGTCTTTTATAGTCTTAATTCAATGCCAGGTATGACCGCTCAGTTGTGTTCAGACTAACGGTAAGCACCCTAACGAATTATACCCACTAATGGAAGGTCTGCTCAAAATTGCTAAGAAGCTTTTATTATTTTCAGTTTAATTTTTCCCATTTTTTCTTATTTCAGGGCTTTGAAGACTGCTTGGTATTTGATGAGTTAATGGATAAGTTCAATAATGATCTTAGTAAGTAAAATTTCTCAAATGGACATGGACTAGCCTTGCTGATTAATTGTGGACTGATCCTAGAAGACCACAAACCCATGGTCCATATTTCCTGTTCAGGATTATAAATATTTCTGTTAACAGCCTCTGTTTGCCGCTGTAGTCTCCCATATCAGACAAGGAGCACCCAGAGAGAGAAACATAGTTTCTTTTAAGGTTCGTACATGGGAGTCTATGCAGTGATCCACACAAGGATAAAAGTTCTGAGACCAAAGATACGCTCCTTTGTCTCCCTTTCAACCTGGCTGCGTCCCCTGCACCTTGCCCTCGTAAACCCTGTTAAAAGCCCCGGTGCTTTCTTGCTTTCTGCCTTATCAAAGATTGCACCTGATACTTCTATTTGCCTTTTGATTAAAAATTGATTTTGCCAATATATTAATTTTACAAACCTTGAAGTTTAAATTATGTAAGTAATTCTGAAATTATATTAAACTAAATGTACACAATTTTCATCTGTAAAAGAAATTGCAAACAATAGCCTAAGAACTGGATACCTTTTACTGCTTCTCAGCATCACAGGTTCTGAACGGCTACCTCTGAATTTAAATCAGTTTCAGGTAAGGGATAGAATTAGAAAACTGGCTTTGAAACGTCTCCAGTTATTTTTTTTTCCATCTGTAAAGTAGAAATAATAATAACCAATTCAGAGACTTGTTGTGAAGATTAAATAAACTGATTTGTGTGAATCTTTAAAAAAAAAAGTCTATCCCGGAATAAGTTCACAGTAAATGTTTGTGATGCTGTTATAGAAAGTCATTGGACCTCAGCTTTGGTGTCTGGGTCAGGAGAGATTATAGGTTTCTGAGCAAACTGCTTCTGGTTCTCTCCCTTTCTTTCCCAGCGTTCTCACTCAGATGTTCAAGATCCAGAGGCATTTTGCTTCTTCCTTTCTTAGCCCTCATGTGATTGGTTTCATGTGATAATGATGATGGAGGTGGATGGAGGGTTCATGTATCAGAACACACTGTTAATACTGGTTTTGGTTACCAGAGAACAAAGATTGAATAATAATAATATGACAACATAATCATAACTAATATCATTGAACATTTCATATGTGTTGGGTATCTTCCTGATTTTGATGCATGATCTCATTTGGTCCTCATGAAATATGTGAGGCATAGGTACTATTTTTGTTTATATTTTACAACTGAGGAAATTTAAGCTTAGAGGAGAGTAACGAGCCTCCCCAAAGTTGTGTAGCTAGACAGTGGTAACGCCAGGGCTTGCACCCAGGGTCTTTGACTTTAGAAATGGTTTCCTTAATAACTAGAGTTGTTTAGTCACATGAAAGTTACAGCAGTAATTAATTTATCAATATCTATTCAGTATTTAACCACATACCAGGTTAAGATTTCAAACATGAATAAAACATGGGCCCTGCCTCCAGGAGATCACAGAATAATGTTGTTTAAGCTAATAAGGTGTCATATATGCAGTAAAATAATGGTGCATGGGGTACCAAGGGAGAACATAAATGAAAATAGCAAATTCTAAGCAGGGCTGGAGGGGAGTCATTTATAAGAATAGCTTTCCATTTATGAAATAAGGAAAATAATGATTTATTTATTATTTCAACTAGTGTATATTATATTACATTATTATATTATAATGTTATATTATAATCAACAACTGTATATTATATTCACTTTATCATAAGTGTCATTTAATCACAATAGTAAATACCTATGTGTTATTGTTCAGGATTCATACATTGTTGGTCATCCAACCTGGTTACCTATAGTTTTAAAAGTTTGGAGAGATCATCGGTAGAGAATACATTATTTAATTTTATCTGTGTAGAGTCAAGCGCATTTTTACCAACTGTTTTGAAAAAGATGTATTATTTAACTTGATTTCTAGGTATGTGTCTTCCTGAATTCTCAAGATTTAGAATGCCTGATGACCATGCGATTTCAGACCTATCCATGTACAATTACATAGAGGTGAGTGAGAGGGTTTGGCTCTATTTCAAGAGATCATTTACTGATACTCTAACAAACTTTCTTTTTAAAGATTTGTCTTTGCTCTAGGCACCTCTCATGCATGCTGCAAAGAATAGGTCCTAAAAGAACACACACACACACACACACACACACACACACACA